TCTTGATTTATCGAGGTCTGTTGAATTTACGTCTACGGAGTGATGTAATGCCTACCTCACGGGCTCCCATTATCGTGGCTTGTAAAATATTCCCGCGATTTCCGCGACGTAAATTCTTCGTAATATCAGATTCGCGGTGGTGTAAATCTGCAGGAGGAATAAAAGTCTCCGGTTGGATGTAGTTATGGATCATTTATCTTGCACTTCTCTCTCTCTCTCTCTCTCTCTCTCTTTCTCTCTTGATCCATACTGTACCTTCAACAGTCTAGCTTTACAAATTATAAGAAAAATTACGTTACCTTCTCGATGCAACCAACGCTTAAAAAATCATACTACTTCCAAAGTATTTTTCTGTCAATGATGGACAGTGTGTATTCAAGTGGAAACAGTATTAGAAACTGTACGAAAAATAAGGAGAAGAAGGGAGGAGAATGAAAGGACGTTCTGAAAGTCAAAGAAAAGACCTGATAAAGTGGAGAGTGCAATAGAAGCAAAGGACTATTAAAAATAAAAGATGCATTTAAGTACCATGTTCCGGGATAGAATTAGACAGTATGAGTGATGCAGAGGAAAAGGATGAGATAGTATTAAAAGAAGTGTGTCTAAATGAAAGGGAGAAAAAATAGATAGATAAGTACTATTTTTTTACAATTTCGTATAACCAGAAATCCGTTCCAAGCCGCGAGACAAGAACCAAGCACACCGAATAAATGAATAACAAATGTACACTGTATATTATCACATCGATGCACCAGCCCCTTCAAAACAATTCATTTCAAGCCTCTCTCGTAGCTTCGAATAGTCGATTCACCATTAGCCACGCGAATATCCTCCTGAATATGCAAAATGATCCCGCTAACTTGTTCCATCAGGCGGCTCCGTGTTGAAAAATAGCAGATGATGCGCGACCGTGTCGTAAATCCAGCTCGAGCCAGCCTCCTAACAAGATATATTACTCGCGGTCGTCGAAACGCCGCGTGAATATGCAAAGCCCTCTCTCCCCCGTTTATTCATTCGACCGTTGAGAGAACTCGGTGCCATCGCGACGGCCGACGTAGTCGCGTGGAAAAAGTCTCGCGTCTCGTATGAACCGTTACTGAAACGACCGGGTGTATAATCTCTCCTGGACAGGTGATTAAACCTAAATTCTTAACCGAGTAATCCTGCGTGTAGACGCGTGAACGTCCTGTACCAGCGGCATTCGATTTCACTGGACCGTGTAAACAGCTCATTTAATCGGCAGTCGTCGGTGCACGCGCGCCTACCCGTCTGGAGTCGTGAAACGCCCCGTGGTATTGCTCATTAAAGGGGGCGATAGAGGCAGGACATCCAGGACGACACGGTCGACTGTCACTAGACACACCTGTCAGGCCAGAATCAAGTCGTTTGTTACGTTAATTGCTCTCCCGTGTCGCGTGCATTACCACCGACGATCTTTCACGGTTTACTCCCCGTTCTTCGGTTCGCTGACCCGTGAACTTGCCGCTCTGCCTCGCTTTGTACAACATCGGTTGAATATTTGATTGAGATGATCGATCGGGCTGGTAATTAACGCTGCTAGAGCTACTCGACTTGTTGGACGATACGGCATCGATGGCGATTAGAATAATCTCGTGTGAGACGTTGGGAAGAAGGTAGGGAGAGGTTGAAAGGTTGCAAGTTGTTTTTTTGTTTGTAGATTTTATTATCAAAGTATATTTTCTGTCGCAATTATCGAGTAGAGGAGGGAAATGATCGGTGGAGGAGAGGTTTGTTTGAATGATAAAACAAGGGTGTCATAATACCAGAGAGAGCGATAAAGTCTGGCTCGTTAAAAGGAAGAAGTTTGCTTTCTGTCGTTCCACGCCGTGGCTAGGAGCTGTAAAACGAAAGGTGATCGTTGCCGATTGATCTTCGTGGAAAGAGTTAACGAGCGGCATCGTAATTTATCTCGTCGCCTCCTTAACACACCTACCGATTCGCTTCCGAACTTCGAACGAGTCCATTTGACTGATTGAGTGGAGTAACTTCTGAACATCCTGGTGATTTCTATTCGAGGGCCTGGGATCTTGGTTCTACATTTCTATACTGCTAACTTCGCCAACTTCACTTGATCTTCTCTTACTTCTGTTGCCTGGAATAGAAACGTATCCTTAGCAAAATTCTTCGTTTTCACTGCACAGCGTGATTGTGCTAGATCATTTACTCTATACGCTCTTTCGTCTCTTTTAAAATCTTCTGCAGACTGTTGAGAGCTTCTGTCTGAGCCTTAGCGTGGCATTTGACAGCTTCTTGCAGCTGCTGCGTCACCGAGACTTCGGCAGTTGTAACCGCATCACTCAACTCAGAAGTGACTTGTTTCCGCTGATTCGTGGCTTCTTTCGATCTTGTTCCAACGCACTCCATGAATTCGTTCGTTTC